TCTCCTACCCTTCAGACAATAGAAATGGTTTCCCCCTTTCTAAGAGGTCCCCAAACACTTGGACCTTTTCTCTTCAGGAAGAAAACTACAGTCTTTCCCACAATCCACGTGACTAAAGCTCCATATCTCTGCATGCAGCCTTTCTGCAGCCTTTACTTCAAAGCCATCCCGTCCTCCCCGCCCAGAACCTGACACATAGCCTCAGACAAGGCTAAGCCAATGCTTTTTGTAAAATTTCTTTATGACTTTCTCATGTACCCTATGCTGCTGTTTATAAAGCTCAGGGTACCTTTTATCACGTAACCAATTTCTCAATCTACCATGGTGCACATCAGAGGCTGGGAATCCTGCAGTGAGTGACTCCCCAAAGCCTGTCCTACTACAAGGTACAAAGTCAGGAATGTGATGGAATCAACTGTTTGTCCAGCAACAAGAAGCTCGATAGCCTCCAAAACAATCAATCCACTTTTCCAGCATCTTCAGCATCCACTCCCTCCCCCACCGGCGCTCAGTCGCAGCAGTGTGTACCATCTACAAGATGCACTGCAGATACTCACCAAAGATCCTCAAGCAGCACCTTCCAAACCCACGACCCACTTCCATCTAGAAGGACAGGGGGCAGCAGATACATGGAAACACCAGCCCCTGCTCCTAACCACTCACCACCCTGACTTGGAAATATATCGCCGTTCCTCCAGTGTCGCTGGGTCAAAATCCTGGAATTCCCTCCCTAAGGAACATTGTGGGTCAACCCACAGCACATGGACTGCAGTGGTTCAAGGAGGCAGCTCACCCCCACCTTCTCAAGGGGGGCAACTAGGGACGGGGCAATAAATGCTGGGCCCAGCCAGCGATGCCCTCATCCCAAGAGTGAATTAAATTAAAACTGCAGAATGTCCAAGTCTTTCTGTCCCTTGCCTGAGGCACTTGTAGATACCTACCAGCAGGGGTTTGGGTGGGAAACAGTAGCCTTGGTCATCATCTGCCCTCTATGTAAGTGAGCTGAGATCATCTCCATATCCACTGTCTTCATCTCTGAGAGCCATTAGCACACCATAGCCCAAAAGTCAGACTTGCTCCTGTAAATAGCTGGTGAGAGGCCCAGTAGTTTGGGATTTGATATTTTGTACAGCAGTCTACCCACATCACTCTCTCTGCCTTCGAGCAGATGACCTGTCAGTGTAGCTCTCTGCTTCTGAGGAGAGTCCAGCTACTCGGCAGTATGCCAGCTCCTGTTCACGAATACGTTTTCAAAAATCCACTGTCTTTTTCACATTGCACATTTCCAGGTCGTTGCAACTCAAACGATGGGAGAATTTTTAATTCCCTCCCTGGACTTTTTGGTTTATTAATTGCAAAGATGTGGCCTCTAGTGTCTGGTCGCTGAGTGGTTTTCTGCGGTTTGAGTTTTGCTGTTGCTTTTTGGTTTGGTTAAGGCATAAGGTGCTGTTGGTGTTTCTGTCCTGGGGACTATAAGTGGCACACGAAGGGTAGGGGGGGAGTTGGTTGTGTAGAGGGGGTGTTTCTGAGGCACAGAGCAAAAACTGACTTGTCCATCTTCCCTCCCCCTTCCACAGTAGGCAAAGTTGCTGTCAGCTGCTCAGAGGGATGTTGGTGACGACATTTGGGCAGTAATTTTGCGAGCGTTTTCCTTTTTGCTGAAAGAGGATGTGTGGTGGTGAGTTCAGTCACTGTGGTAAGGATGGAGTGACGGACGCATGGGAGCTATTGGGAGTCTTGAAATCATGCAGTTCCCTGCTTTTAATCGCACAGGTTTTCATGCAGTCTGATTCTGCAGCTGCTGCTTGGTGTGCTTCATGTATTCCTCAACACTGCCCCCCCCACCCCACCCCACAATCTGACTTCACATCTGGAAGAATTGAATAAGAAATGTCAGCAATAAATACTAATGATTTGAACCAGATCTCATTTAATTTCGCCTCAGTGAGGAGATCGCCTCCTTCGCGTAGTTCCTGGTATCGCCCAAGAGCACGCTCTCATCCGATCGCAATCTCATGAGATGTTGTGTTGTGATTTGACTGAAATTCCTGGTGAATCTGTGAAATAAAGAAACATTGGTGGTGGGTCTGAAATTTAAAAGAGGAGAACTTCAGGATTTCCCCAAAGTGCTTTGCAGCATGCTTGGTTTTAATTTGCTGCCAGGGTGGGCCCAGCATTCATTGCCCATCCCTGATCCCAAGGTGGTAAGCTGCTGTTCTCGGGGTGTAGGTACCCCCTCCCCCAGCCCCGCTGTCCCTCAGGTTACCGTTAGGGAGGGAATTCCAGGATTGTGACCCAGCGGCACTGAAGGAACGGCGATATATTCCCAAGTCAGGATGGTGAGTGGCTTGGAGGGGAACTTGCAGGGGGGTGGTGTTCCCATGTATCTATTGCCCCTGCCCTCTTACTTGGTGGTGGTTGACATTATGGAAGATGTTGTCTAAGGAGCCTTGGTGAATTTCTGCCATGTATACAGAAGGTGGTGGAGGGAGTGAGATGTTTGTGGATGTGGTGCCAATCAAGCGGGGGCTGCTTTGTCCTGGATGGTGTCGAGCTTCTTGAGTGTTGTTGGGGCTGCCCCCATCCAGGGGCAAGTGGGGGGCATTCCCTCACACTCCTGCCTTGTGCCTTGTAGATGGTGGGACAGGCTTTGGGGAGTCAGGAGTTACTCACCGCAGGATTCCCAGCCTCTGACCTGCTCTTGGAGCCGCTGTGTTTTGGCTCATTCAGTTTCTGGTCAATGATAACCCCAAGGATGTCGATAGTGGGACATTCAGTGATGGTAACACCATTGAATGTCAAAAGGGTGGTGGTTAGATTGTCTCTTGGAAACCGTCATGGCCTGGATGTTGTCCCTTGCTGTGTACCAACAATGACTGCTTCAGTATCTGTGGAGTAACAAATATCACTGAATACTGTGCAATCACTGACAAACGTTTCCACTCCTGACCCTGGAGGTGGGTGGGGAAGGTTATTGATCCAACAGCTATAGATGGCTGGGCCTGAGGAAGCACTGTTGTGGTGCAGTGGTAGTGTCCCTTCTTCTGAACCCAAGAGGTCTGGGTTCAGGTCCAACCTGCTCCAGCAGTGTGTTGTTACACTGCTGAACAGGTCGAGTAAAAACATCTGCCCTGATAAACTGCTACATTGATGTGCTGGAGCTAGGTTAAGTGAGCTTCAGTAATCCCCCAACTGTCTACCGTTGTGTAGGATCAAACTCCCAACTGCAGCAAGAGCCTTTCCCCTCTAATGCAGCTCGGGCTGCTCTTCGCTGCACCCTGTCGAATGCAGCCTTGATGTCAAGGGTCATTGAGTTGTACAGCACCTCCGTGTTGGTGAACTGAGTGGCATGTGAGGAGCATTTCAACCAGTGTTCCTAGAGCAGTGTTAACTTGAATGCAGTTCCGACACACTCCGGTCATAATCTAATGGAGTGGTAGTACAGGTTCAAGGGGCTGAGTGGCCACCTTCTGTCTTGGATTCTGCCTTCCTGCTGCCTTTTTGACCAAGTAGCGAAAGTCTCCCAGTATTTCCTAAGACCCCTTAGACTGGAGTCCTGTTTGATCACCCTCTGTACAAAGAAGTGCTTCCCATTTTCTGTCATAAATGTCGTGGATTTCCCCTCTTTACCATCAAGGCGCATCGCGAAGAATTGTTGCAGATTTGTCCTAACCTGTTGCAAGTCTTTTGGATGCCTGCTCGGAATTGTCTTTTTAGTTTCTGAGGTAGTTTAGAGCCGGTGTTCCTGAAGGAATAGACCAGCTGGCTGTGACACGCCGATAGTGACGTGTCAGGCTGTTTGTAGTATTTGTCAAACAATCTGGATTGCTGCCACACCCATTCGTGGGATAACCTATCGCCGCAATCCTGTGCAGGTGGCCTTTGCTCCCTGGCCTGCAACTATCTGTCGCTGTTTTAAAACGTGGCCTTTCAAAGGTTTCTGTTCAGTAATTGGCTTTTCCTTGGTTGTGATTGCGACGGGTTGCAGTCTTTCTCAACTCTGGCAGCTTCCTTGTGTCTCAGTCTGCCGGTCGGGTAAGTGGAGATGGTTCTGTTTCACCCCTCCTGGACCGGACCACTTTAAAACAAAAAGGGGATCAGGAACAGACCGTACAGCTGCTGAGCCCGCTGCCCCATTCCTGTAGGCTTCTGGCCGATCTACTGTCCTCCCCCTGTCTCCTTGTGCCCAAAGAGCTATCAGCCTTGAGCTTGAATGTGACCGTCGAGTGCCCACAACCTTTTCCAACAGTTCGTCACAATTGACGTGAAAAACATCTCCACCTTGGGCCTAAATGATCAATCCTTTCTCCCCGAGGCTCTAACTCAACGTCTGGATTCTCCACAGATGGAAATGACGACCCAGTACCTTCCCTGTTTTCAGCCCTCTGAAGCTGTGTGTATCTACTCAGTGTGGCTGTAGCTCCTCAGGTTTCCCAGTCTGAGCTCAGGCTCGTGCTCTGAATTCCTGGATACATCTTCCACTGGTGGGTTAAGGCAGTGTGGTGGTGTGTTGGTGCTTAGTTACTCTGGAAATCCCAAAAGAACGCAGCGGAGTGGTTTCTGCCGCTGGCTGTGGATAAGTGTTCCACTCGGACCGCTAGCTGGCCTAGATCAGCTGCTGTGTGCTGGGGAGGTGCTGTACTGTACCACTGTACCTGCAGTACTCCCCAGAGGGGGAGCAGTAAGGATCAGCCTGAGCAGACTGCTGGATTTCTACACACAGAGAAAGAGAGAGAGAGACTGGGAGAGTGTGTGACTGGCTGCGAGAGGATGGGAGTGGGGATCGGACATACCGATTCCATGTGCAGGGTGACGCCTTGAGACCCGAGGAGGAAGAGGGATGCAGTTTGAGGGCTAGTGCTGAGCTTGAGTGGAAACTGCAGGCCCTGGTGTGAAGTCGAGGAGTTAGGGACCAGCTGTAATCGGGGTGCCATAGCGAGCTCGGTTTTCCTGATCACTTGCTCATTCCCTGTCTCCCTCTCTCTTCCTCCCCCTTTCAGAGGATACGAAGATGAGCAGCTCGGAGGAAGTGTCGTGGATCTCCTGGTTCTGTGGACTGCGAGGCAATGAGTTCTTCTGTGAGGTCAGTTTCTGAGCGTGGCCCGGGTCTGTCAGTTCCGTGCAGTAAACCCGGTATCTCGGGGCCAAGCAAGTGCAGCCTCCTCCTCGCACATACTGAGCTTGTTCTACTTGCTCCTGGGCTCAGTCCACTGGACCTTACACGTTCACTTACACCACCGAGTCAGTGGGGAGCTCTAAGCACAACGCGGCCTTGCTCTGCCATGTCACTCGTTCTTTCTGAAAAGATGAGAAAGAGGCAAGAGCTGTTGTTGCAGAAGCTTTTTGTCTCGAGTCAGCGGGACAGGTGCAAGAATATCAGTTTTCAAAGAGGGGCAGAAAGGTCTTGATTGGCTGGCAGATTGACTCTGACTCTGGTCAAGGTGTTGCAGTGGGCCACTACCTGGTTAAATTCGTTCTCCTTTCCAGGGGCAAGCGATGTCTCATAGTGTTATCACTAGACTGTTAATCCAGAGACCCAAGGTCATGGTCTGAGGACCTGGATTTGAATCTGTCCATGACATGGTGGAATTTGAATAGAGAGCCTAACGATGAAGATGAAACTTGGCGGGGTGGGGTGGTGGGGGGAACCCATATATTTTACTTGTCCTTCAGGAAAGGAAACTGCTGCCTTTACCCAACATGGCCTATACGTGACTCCAGACCCACACCAGTGTGGTTGATCTTTACTGCCCTCTGAGCCATTAGGGCTGAGCTATAAATGCCAGCCTAGCCAGCAATGCCAACATCCTGTGAATGAGTTTAGAGAAACAGACGGAGCATCAGTAAGTGTGAGTGGAGTGCATCCTGAGCAGGCAGTGTAAATTGTTATTCCCTTTACAATTTGGCACTCTTGCATTTGTCCTGAAGTGTGCAACATGGCATGCTTTCTCAATCTATTTCTTTCTTGTTCCAACAAACCACCTCCAGTTCTGCCCCACCAAGTGACCATTATCCCGGTGCTCCAGCAACGTAGCTGAGCTCAGAAATGTACACCGTGCGAAAGCAAGCCATTCAGCCCATCTGGTCCGCACTGACCCTGTAAAGATCTTCCCGCCCAGACCCAGCCACCTACCCTATCCCGGTAACCTTGCATTTCCCATGGCTAACCAAACTAGCCTGGGCACTATGGGACAGTTTCCTGTGGCCAATCCACCCTAACCTGCATATCCCTGGGCAATATAGGACAGTTTCCCATGGCCAATCCACCCTAACCTGCACATCCCTGGGCACTATGGGTAATGTAGCAGGGCTAAGAATAGGCAGAGCTCCATTCATGTAGCTGTTCTCCAGACAGCTACAGGCAGCAGTGTTCATTAACCTACAAGAAAATAAAACCAAGAACCTGGGATTCTGGAATGGAAAGCAGAAGTTGCTGGAGAAGCTCAGCAGGTCTGGCTGTATCTGTAGAGAGAAAGCAGAGTTAATGTTCCTCCATTTCCATTCTATCCAGGCCTCGCAGTATTCTATAGGCTTCGGGGAGTACCAAATACAGACCCAGTCTTCAACCACTCCTCACATGACAATCCCTTCATCACCGGGATTGTGCTTGTAAACCTCCTCTGGACCCCTTACAAGGCCAGCACATCCTTCCTTAGATACGGGGCCCAAAACTGCCCTCTATATTCCAAATATGGTGTAGCTTGAGCCATATACAGCCTCAGCAGTACACTTCTGCTCTTGTTTTCTAGCCCTTTCAAAATGAATGCTGGCATCGTGTTTGCCTTTCGAACTGTCAACTGAACCTACATGTTAACCTTAAGAGAATATTGAGCTAGGACTCTCAAATCCCTTTGTGCTTTAGATTTCTGAAGCCTTCCCCATTTAGTAAATAGTCTACATCTCTCTTTTTCCTACCAAAGTGTATAAGTTCACATTTTCCCACTTTGTATTCCATCTGCCATTTCTTTGCCACTCTCCTAGCATGTCCAAGTCTATTTGCACCCTTCCTACTTCCTGAAGACTACCTGCCCCATCACCTATCTCTGCTGCCAAGTTTGCAGGTGACACAATGTCCTCAGTTCCTTCACCCAGTATAATGTGAATAGTTATGGTCCCAACACAGACCCCGTGGAGTTCCAGTAGCCGCTGGCTGCCATCCTGAAAAAGGCCCCTTTACCTTCACTCTCTGCCTTCTGCCAGTCAGCCAATCCTCTATCCGTGCCAGTACCTTGCCCCTAATACTATTTAGCTGATTTTAGCAGCCTCCTGTGTTGCACCTTTTGTCAAAGGTGCCCAGGTCACTTTGAATTTTTGTCCTGGCATGAGCGTACCTGCGAGGTAGTGGGTTTTGTTTACCGCACCTGATTTGGATTTGAAACCAATCTGTTTGTCCTGAAATAGGCTGGGCGTCATATCCAGGGTTGTGGTACCCTTAAGCTCTGGATCCGTCTGGGTGCAGTGGGCATTCTATGTCTGTCCCTCTGTGTCCCTGACATCAGGTACAGGACATGTTGGTGATGCATGCTTGAGGGCATACAGGCATAGAAACAAGCCATTCAGCCCGACACTTCTGTCTGGGTGTTGATGCTGTCCCTCGACCTCATCCTATCTTCTGTCTAAATCCATCATCCTGACCTCCGGTCCCTTCTCCGCATTCCAATTGCCTAATTTCTCTTTAATCTATCTGTATTATTCACTTCAGTCATGCTGTCTGCTAGCGAGGTCCACGTTCTATCACTGGCTGTGGGATGACATTTATTCTCTATGCCCTATTGGATATCTTGGTGTCTATCACATATTTTATGGTCTATGGTTATATCTGACCCACAGCAGGGAAGCGCTCTTTTTATTCATTCTATTTCAATCTTTTAGAACTTTAAGGACCTTTTTATTAGATCACCCTTTTTGACCTTTCTCATGAGAATAGAAGCCATCCTGCCAATGATGTATAAAACCCTTATTTTCACCAACCTGTTTGCACATGGACACAGCTATAGGGCAGGTGCGACTTGAACCTGGGCCTACTGGGTTTCTGCAATAATTGACTGTTGTCAAGGCCACCATCGCCGTAGCTTTCAATCCAATATTTATTAATTGAATTTGAATTCCACCAGCTCCTAAGGTGGTATTTGAACCCGTGTCCCAGAGCGTTAAAGTCTGGTGGGATTACTAGCCCAGTGCCATCCCTACTATCCCAGTATCTTTTGGGGAATCTAAAACGTGGCAGGACACAGACTTACTGTGAAGGCTGAATCATTCGGAGCTGAAGTGAGGAGAAAGTTCTGAATGTAGTATTTTCTAACCCAGGGGTTTTTTTGGCGTTTATTCACCTATTGGTGGAACATGGGAGTTTGATTTCTGGGGGGGAGTAGGTGGGGATGGGGAGATAAGGTGGACTTTTTAATCACGATGGTGTTGTGGCGTGCAGTCGACTCCCTGTTTCCCCTGCCCTAGCTCTGAACTTGTGACTGCAGCTAAATGAGCAGCTACGACCATATACCGAGGGTTGAGAGACCAGGGCAGCGTGGTGGCTCAGTGGTTAGCACTGCTGCCTCATGGCGCCAGGGACCCGGGTTCGATTCCACCCTTGGGCGGTGTGCTCAAAGACAAATAACCTTGGCCTCTCTAGTCTCTCCGTGGTTTGTGATAGTTTGGGAAACCAGGTCAGCACAGAAACAGACCCTATAATGATCTGTCTGCGTGGAGTTTGCACATTCTCCCCGTGTCTGTGTGCGTTTCCTCCCACAGTCTAAAGTTTGCACGTTAGGGTGGATTGGCCATGGGAAATTGTCCCGTAGTGCCCAGGGATGTGCAGGTTAGGGTGGATTGGCCATGCTAAATTGTCCTGTAGTGCCCAAGGATAAGGTAGGGAGGCAGGTCTGGGTGGAATGGTCTTCAGGGATTCGGTGTGGACTTGATGGGCCGAATAGCCAGCTACCACACCGTAGGGATTCTATGATTAAAGTGAAGATCACATCTGAAAACTCCCCTTCAAGCCAAGGACGTGGAAATCTGTTCCAACAGCTTCAGGTCGTGTCGCCCACTTGGATTCTATTTTTGCACCCAGGCTCTGTCTCACCTTGATCAGCAAATGAAACAGCAATGTGAATGGAAACATTGAATTTGAGTTTTTCCAGCACTTGCTGTTTATTTTTATTTTGAACTGTGGAATCCAGGCACCTCTTTCCTCCAAAATCAACCTATTGACATCGGGAAAGAATTGGGTATGTCAGAACCAAGATTGATGGTCGTGTGTGTGTGTGTGTGTGTGTCTTTTTTTTTTTAAACAAGACAGACGTCATTAAAGGTGAGTGAACCAAGGTAGGTGGGTGAGTGGATGGAGTTGTGTTTGAACTTGACGAAGCTGAATGGTCAGACCCCATCTTATACTCCCTAATGCAGTATTATCAATCACTGTGACGGGGTGGGGGCTAAGTCAGGGGTGACTGCAGTAGTTTATGCTTTGCCCTGCAACAGGCTGTTGTGTCACTCCTCCATCCCCGTACCAACTTAGAGGGTGTCTTTTCCTCTTGTCTTGCGGGTAGATTAGGGTGGCTCAGTGGTTAGCCCTGCTGTCTCTCAGCACCGGGGACCCTGGTTCGATTTCACCCTCTGGTGACTGCCTGTGGGGAGCTTGCACGTTCTCCCCGTGTCTGCGTGAGTTTCATCCCACAGTCCAAAGATGTGCAGGGTGGGTGAACTGGCTGTGATAAATTGCCCCATAGTGTCCAGGAATATGCAGGTTAGGTGGATTGGCCATGGGAAATGTCGGGATCAAGGGATAGGGCCGGGGGTGTAGTTCTGGGTGGGATGTTCCTTGCAGGTTCGGTGTTGACTCAAAGGGCCGAATGGCCTGCTTCCACACTGTCGGGTTGGCCTTGGGTTATTTGTTTGGTTGTTGTGAATGACTGACCTTCCACTCCCTGTTCTGTTTACCCCCTCTGTTTGTTTGTCTAACCTAGGTTGATGAAGATTATATTCAGGACAAGTTCAATCTGACCGGCCTGAATGAGCAGGTGCCCCATTACCGCCAAGCGTTGGATATGATTCTGGACCTTGAGCCCGGTATGTTCTAACGTTTCCCCGGGTTGGAGCTGGTGGGTGTTAGGGCTGACTGTCCCTCAGCAGCTGTGTGCTGCTGCAAGTCCAGCTGTTAGAGCGGGGGGGGGGGGGGGGGGGGGGGACGGGGCATCAGTGAGAATCTGTGCCCCGCCCCAATCTCCGAAGCAGCACTGAAATTCCTTCCCGGTCTGGATAGTGTTGGGGTGAAGTCACCATTCACTTCTTGCAGAAGTGCTGGGGGAAGGAGTCGCACACTTTTACCACCAAGGTTAAAGGTTTATATCCAGAGCACTGGAGTACAAGGATATAGGCGTTCTGCTGCATTTATACAAAACTCTGGTTTGATCCCAATTGGAGTACTGTGAGCAGATGTGGGCACCACGAAGGATAGAGTGGCCTTGGAGGGAGTACAGTGTACGTTTACAAGCACGATACCTGGACTGCAGGGGTTAAGTTATGAGGAGAGATTATACAAATAAGACCTGTTTTCTCTAGAATTGAGAAGGTTAAGGGATGATCTGATTGAAGCATTAAGTATATTAACAGGAAAAGACAGGGTAGATATGCTATTCCCACTGTCTGGGGATTCTAGAACTAGGGAGTAGTCTGCGAGGGAGGGTCAGAGCGATCAGGAAGAGATGTTAGGAAGCACTTTGATACACAAAGGGTGGCAGAGGTTTGGAACTCTCTTCCACAAATGGCAGTGGATATGTTTTTGTTAGGCAAACGGATTCAGGGATATGGGCCAGGGGCAGATTTATGAGGCCACAGATCAGCCATGATCTCACTGAATGGCAGAACAGGCTTAAGGGGGCTGAATGGCCTACACATGCACTTGACCAGCAAGTGAAAGGTTTGTCAAACCCAATAGTTTACGTTGAAAAGAAGCAGAAATTTGGTTCTGTTATGTTTTGGGTGGGCCCCTTCCATAAATTTGGACTGTATGCCACACACACGGAATATTCACAGTCTCTTTTTTGGCTTATTGTTGTCACATGTACCGAGGTACAGTGAATTGTATTGTTTTGCATGCTACGCAGGCAAATCGTACCAAACAATTACACCAGAAGGTAGTGCAAATCACTGCACTGTTCCTGGGCTCTGAACGTTGCCCAGTATTGAGTACTACAGTGTATTGTATTTCCATTTACGGAATCCAAACGTGCTGCTGTGTCCCTGCCTGAGATCGATCATCAGCTTGGGCAGAGCCAAGCTCTCCTGTGTGCTGTGGAACTGTGCCCACTTGAAGCTGGAATAAAACTTTCTGACCAAATTTCCTTTTGGCTTTGTGCAGCCTACATCAAGGACCTCGCCCCGTCTGGACACAGCACAGCTTTCAGCACCAGTTTCAAAAGTGAAAAGCTGTGCCGTGTTTGTGAACTCCGCAGGTTACAATTGCTCAGTCCTAGCTCCGAGCCCTGGTGTCCCGTTGTATCTCGTTGACGGGCCAGCTAGCCTTTTCCACACGGTTTGGTTCCTATTGTGTGTCCTGCTGACATCTGAGCTAACTGCTCTCTGCTAAGTCGAACCATATTTCAAGGCTGTGAATCGAAAGAAACTGATATCTAAGGTCAACAGGTAATGGGGGTTGGGGTTGGGGTTGGGGAAGGTAAATGGAAAGTTGGCCTTTATTTCAAAGGGAATGGAGTATAAAAGCAGGGAGGGAGGTTTTGCTTAAGCAATCGGGAATCAATCAGGCGAAACCCGGAATACTGTGAACAGTATCCCCTAAGGAGTGATGTGCTGGTCCTGGTGGCAGTCCGGAGAAGGTTCACTTGGCTGATCCCGGGAATGTCTTGGGAGGAGAGGTTGAGCAGGTTGGCCCTGTATTCATTGGAGTTTAGAAGAAAGAGAGGAGACGGACAGGATTCTTAGGGGAGTAGATGTGACAGATGTGGTGAGATTGTTTTCCCCTTGTGTGGGAGAGCCCAGGAGCAGAGGGGCATCATCGTGGAATGAGGAGTCACCCACTGAAGACAGACGAGGTCTCGGGAATGAATCTGTGGAATTCTTTACCAAAGAGGGCTGTTGAGGCTGGCTCATTCAGTATATTCGAGGCTGCGAGAGAGAGAGATGTTTAATCGATAAGGAAATGAAGGGGTATGGGCGCGGGTGGTGGTGGAGAAAGGCAGGAAAGTGGAATTGACGACTGTGGGATGTGCTGTTGAAAGGTGGAGCAGATTTGATGGGATGAATAGCCTCCTGTGAGTAATGTTCAGTGCTTGCTCTGTGTAACTTGTTCAGTGCAGGATACCTGCTCTCTGTCCCGTCAGTGAGTGCTGCCAGTAATGTTGGTTGTGTTCCCTCGTTGTGTGAACCGTCAGAATGTGAAGCACTTTCCTGAACAGTAGGAAATGTAGCAACCAGTTAACAGGCAGTGAGCTCCCACAAAAGCAGCAAGATGATTAGTTCCAGATAGTCAGTTTCTCATCATGTTTCAGGAGCAAATATTAACCAGAACTGAAGGCCATTTTTAAAGGTGTTCTCTAAATGTTCACTTGTGTCTGAGGGGAAGGCGTAGCCTCAATCTTAGCATCCCAACCCATGCCCTTGACAGTGCAGTTTGTTCTGAGGACTGTACAGGAATCTGTGTAGATCTTGTGCTCAGAACTGAGGCTGGATAACTCGTTTCTGCTGTGAAGGCAATTGCAAGTGAGACTGACACTTTTTTTTCTCCTTGATCCAACACCCTGCTACTTACTTTTGATCAGATATTGAACTGGTCCAGCCATATACGTGGAGCTGCAAGAGTAGCTCAGAGGCTGGGAATCCTGCGGTGAGTATCCCACCATTGACAAGGCACGAAGCAGGAATGTGAGGGAATACCCCCCACTTGCCCCTGGATGGGGGCAGCCCCAACAACACTCAAGAAGCTCGACACCATCCAGGACAAAGCAGCCCCCGCTTGACTGGCACCACATCCACAAACATCCCACTCCCTCCCCCACCGACGCTCAGTAACAGCAGTGTGTACCATCTACAAGATGCACTGCAGAGATTCACCAAAGATCCTCAGGCAGCACCTTCCAAACCCACGAACTACTTCCATCTAGAAGGTCAAGGGGCAGCAGATACATGGGAACACCACCCCCTGCAAGTTCCCCCTCCGAGTCACTCCCCGTCCTGACTTGGAAATATATCGCCATTCCCTCCGTGTCACTGGGTCAGAATCCTGGAATTCCCTCCCTAAGGGGCATTGTGGGTCAACCCACAGCACATGGACTGCAGCGGTTCAAGAAGGCAGCTCACCCCCACCTACTCAAGGGGGGCAACTAGGGACGGGACAATAAATGCTGGGCCCAGCCAATGTTGGCCATGTCCCATGAGAGTAATTTTTTTAAAAAACAAAAAATCCTTTGATTTGTAGAAACCAAAAAAACTGCAGATACTGTAAATCAGGAACAAAAACAGAAGTTGCTGGAAAAGCTCAGCAGGTCGGGCGGCATCTGTGAAGAGAAATCAGGGTTGACGTTTCGGTTCTGGTGACCCTTCCTCAGAACTTTGTGATTTGTGCCTGTGTTCCACAAACTGGTGCTGCCCTCGATAAAGAACCTTCTGAGAAACACAACCAGTATGAAGTCCTGCACTCTGTGAGGAAAGTAACAAGCATTTGTAACCTTTGTTTTTGTTTTTGAGTTCTGAGTTGACTGGAGCTACAAATCTACCTAGCATTGAGAGAACGTTGCGTATTTGTGGATAACCCCTTTCTCCTCAACTCACTTTATTGTTTCAGCCACCAAACGCTGCACTTTAACATTCAATGCACTGTCTGTGAGAGTGACTCTTGATCGAATCAGTGACTAACCAATTCATTTCAGCCTCGTGTGCAGTCCTGAGCATCATTTCCCAACACATCCGAAATTCAAAAGGACAGAATCTTGATTGTTCTGTTGGGGGTCTCCCTTTCGTTTCATAGATTTTTACAGCATTGCAACAGGCCATTCAGCTCAACAATTCCCACGTTAATGTTTCCCACATTTGCCTCCCCTCACTCTGACCATAACCTTCGATTTCCTTCTCCCCTCTGTTTTATCTGACTTTGCCAGGTCTGTGCTGTCCAATGTTGAGGTTGAGTACATTCCAGGAGAATGACATTGTCTGAATGATTAACTGAGCGTGTAGGAGGAGAGTCCGCTCCTGGGCCAGCCGCAGTGGCTGTTTGGCCATGGACCTGTGGAGTTAGGCCACAGGTCAACCATGATCTCACTGGATGGTGGAACAGGGTGGAGGGGCTGAATGGCCTACTCCTGTTCCTTGTGTATTGTTAAATCAGTGTCCGTGTGAGAGGGAGCGTGTGGTGTCTGCTGCTGAGTTTTATTCCTTCTACAACTGCTGATGTGGTGCATTCGGAGCGACACCTTGCTTTTATTCCTGAGTTTACCTATTTTAATGTTTGCTGTGCAGCTGCTTTCAAGAAGCACTTTTTTCTGGTTCCTTTGGCCATTTGTCCTTTGGGTGGTAGGGAAGGACGTGGCCTCCTGGTGGGTCTGCTCCTGGCCATACCCGTTTGCAGCGAAACAGAGCGCTGGTGCCGTTAGAACCTCGCGTGGCTGGTTCACTCTGTCAGCCCGGGAGCACAGAGATTTCCGAATCCACCTGCTCGGGGATGGTGCCTCCTGGCTTGGAGGTAAGGACACTGCACCACAACAGCCCTTCCTAAGGCCTGGGAGTGCAGCATCAGCCTCAGGAATGACCCTTCCAATTTCACCCTAACATTCCACTTTGCTCCTTACTGGGCAGCCTCCTGTAGAATTCCCTAACCGGTTTCTCAGCAACTGTCTTATGTTTTCGGCGCCCCACCTGGCCTGCCAAATTGTGCCCGTCCTTTTTAAAGTCCGTCGATCAGAGCCTGCTTTGCCTCCACTGAGGCAGAGAGAGCCGCACGCTGCCGTGTCTTTCCTGATCGCTGTTTGTCTGTTCCACGCACACACGCCCTTTGAAAAGTGGATTCCCTCGAGGAATTTTGAGGTAATTGTTTGTATCAATTCAGGTGACCTCTTGTCTGCCCTGTACCACTTTTGCTGAAGCTGGTGGAGTGCTGTGCACCTTGCAGAGGTGCTGCATGCACTCCTGACTGTAACCTGCCTTGATGATGTTTCTGTCGATCCTTGTGTTAACCAGATGAGGAGCTGGAAGACAATCCAAACCAAAGCGACCTTATCGAGCAGGCTGCCGAGATGCTGTATGGACTGATCCACGCTCGCTATATCCTCACCAACCGAGGGATTGCTCAGATGGTAGGTGGGCGTTTTCCCCCAGTTTTTCCTGCGGGTGCCGGGGGAGAGATTGTTTTAACTGAAAGGCGAAAGAAAGAAAAGTCTTAAAGCTGGGGGCATGAGGAACTTGTAAAACTCAGAAACCCGCAACATCAGACAGAAGAATGGGTTAATGTTTTGGATGGGATGGCCCAGGGTGGGGGTCCTGTTGCCTACGTTGCATACAGACCTTGTTTCTGAATTGGGTAAGAAACCTACAGAGAATTCCCCAGTCTCCCTGTAGTGCTGCCCCCTTGGCAGAAGGTGGCATAAGCACGCTGCGAGCTGGTGCCTTGTCATAATGTCCTCGACCGGCCAAGCTCCAGTGTGTTTGAAACGAGCTGAAATTCCCTGGAGAAAAAACACTTTTTTTTCCCGAACTGGTTCAGCGTGTACTGCAGGAGGGCTGTTGTTAACTCCAATTTATCTCCGCAGGTGCTGCCAGACCCACTGTGGCTTTTCCAGCCATTTGTTTTCCAGCACCTGCAATCCTTTGAGTTTTTTTGTTTGGTGTGTGGGAGTTGCTGGAAGCTTTACTGTGCTGAAATGTTGAGAGGTGGATTGGCAAACTGTGACCCAGCCAGAATGACTTCATTGGGTGGGTCAAGGATAGAAGGAGGGTTGAGAGAAGTTCCTACTGAGGTACCTTCTATAAGAGGCAGCTGTACTTACTACCTGCTTTGTCACTGAGTCCAGCTACTGGTGTTGTCACATCTGATCAAACTGTTAGTTTGCTTTTAAATTTAAATCAACAGCCCTAAGGACAGGCTAGAAAAAAATCTCCACTCATTTTCTCTGGAGCGGCAGAGGCTGAGGGAAGACGCGATAGACGTTTATAAAATTGAGAGGCAGAGATAGGGTTGACGGTCAAAATCTCTTTCCCCTCCAGAGTCGAAATGTCTAAAACAAGAGGGCAAGCATTGAAGGTGGAAGGGGGAAAGTTGCGAGGGGCAAGCTTTTTTTATTTTTTCTTTTTATACCCAAGAGTAGTAGGAGTCTGGAACACACTGCCAGGGGCTGGTGGTGGGGGCAGATACAGTAGGGGTGTTTTAAGCTACTTTTAGACAGGCACATGAATGTGCAAGGAATGGAGGGATATGGACCAAGGGCGGGCAGAAGGGATTAAATTCATTTGGTGTGGTGTTCGGCACAGCATCCCAGGTCGAAGGGCCTGTCCCTGTGCTGTACTGTACTTTGTTCTCAAGGGCAACTAGGGACGGGCAAGAAATGCTGGGCCTGGCCAGTGATGCCCACGCCCTGTGAGTAAATTTAAAAAAAAAAGTGATCTCCCTTTGTATCCCTTAGAAGGTGACAGGGTATTCACGCAGAGGGTGGTGCGTACGTAGAAAGAACTGCCAGAGGAAGTGGTGGAGGCGGGTACGGTTACAATGTTGAAATGACATTTAGACGTGTATGTGAATAGGAAAGTTTTAGAGGGATGTGGGACTAGTTCAGTTCAGGAAACGTTGTCAGCATGGACGAGTCGGGCCGAAGGGTCTGTTTCTGTGCTGTATGACTCTGTTCTTTGTACAACACTGTTCCTAAAAGTGGGGAGAGACGGTTCTGCCTGCTCCCCAGTCGGTACTATCACGGTCGATCATCTGCTTTTCTGTATGCTGCCCGCGATCTTTGTACCCTGTCGGATCCCCTCCAGAATCTTGTCTGTTTCAGTGAGATTGCCTGTCAGTCATCCAAACTCCAGTGAACTTTTCTGAAGAAGGGTCCTGACCCGAAACGTCAGCTTTCCTGCTCCTCTCGTGCTACCTGGCCTGCTGTGTTCCTCCAGCTCCACGCAGTGTTATCCAGTGAACGTCAGCCCAGTTTACTCGATCGCTGATCACAGGAACCCGCCCAACCATCTCGGGCACTAATTTGGTGACCCTTTGCCCTGGGGAACAAGACAAGTCTGTCTCCTTTTCTGTCAGGTAGAACTGTAATCCAGATGTGATCTGCCATCAAATTCCCCTGTCCCACAGCAGCAGGATGAGTCATTCCCTACGGTGGGCCTACACCCTGTTTGCAAGCCCCCGGAGCAAAGTTTACAAATTTGTATGCATACACTGCGACTCGACACTGGGGAGCTTGCCTCTCCTTGTCTGAGCTGAGCAGGGTTAAGGTGAACCGGGGATAAAGGTGCTTTCCCCGTTCTCTCAGCTCTCTTGGATACAGTGAATTCTCCTGGCTGACAACAGCAACCAGGAAGGTTGCTAGGCAACGTACAACCACAAGGCACCGTGTTGTCAAGTGGCAGGACAGGTTCCTGTTTGTTTTGTATCTGGAAACTGCACCCTCCCAAAACATCAGTCACCTTTTCAGCGACGCACCCTGGTCTGCTGTCTAACTCTGTCCCTGTCTGTTTTCTCCTTTTTAAAACAATATATTCTCAGTCTCCTTTATGACTTGGGGATTCTCCAGGCTGTTGTTAAATTGCGACCCTTTCTTCACCCTCACCCTCTCTCGCCATATTATAAAACAAAGGGAAACGCCCAACAGTCAGCAATGTTCAGGTGTACAGTGATAACTTAGGGAGCACACGAGCGATGTACCTTGGAAACATTTTGGGGTGAGTTCCAGGTCAGCCTGGATCAGGCATGGAAGCTCATAAACATGGCCTCATGAACCCCTTCCTGTCCCTCTGTACCTTGGTCGGTCTCTCTCTTTCTCTCTCTCTTTCTCTCTCTCTTTCTCTCTCTCTTTCTCTCTCTCTTTCTCTCTCTCTTTCTCTCTCTCTTTCTCTCTCTCTTTCTCTCTCTCTTTCTCTCTCTCTTTCTCTCTCTCTTTCTTTCTCTCTCTCTTTCTCACACCCACCCACCCCTGAAGGGTAGGGTTAGTGTAACATGCTCCAACCTGTAACGTGATTTGCCTCCTGAATCAGACATGATTCATTCCAGTGATGCTTGTGCCATTCTGTCATCAAAGCACTTGCAAACAGCCACTTGTGAGTTTGTGTCGCACCCCTGGACAGAAAAGGAAACATACCGTTGCCGAGTAACATGTTCACTGAGCACCGAACCTATTCGTTCACCCACACAGCTGCTTCAAGCTGGTAGATAGCTTAGAGTTAGGATGAGGGGGCTCTGGGGAAACTGGGAGGGAATTCGAGTTTGGGGAACAGGCAGTTGAAGGCACCATTGGGGAGGGGGTGAGGGTTCCATCAACGCAGGACCTTCCAGGCATGCAGTCTTACTTCTGATTAGTCCATGCACAGAGAGGACCAAATCCTGGGACTGATTTTACCCAGTCAATTGGGCTGAGAGCCAGAAACTGTGAAGCACCAGCAAGGCTCAGCACACGCTCGAATCATTGTGTTGTGTGGCAGTACCACCGTGCTGGATGGGACTGGGTCACAATCCTGGAATTCCCTCCCTAAGGGACATTGTGGGTCAACCCACATCACATGGACTGCAGCGGGTCAAGGAAGCCGCTCACCCCCACCTTCTCAAGGGGGGGCAAGTAGGGACGGGGTAACAAATGCTGGGCCCAGTCAGCAGTATGCACATCCCATGAGTGAATTTTTGAATTAAAACATTGCCTATTTTTATTTTAAGCTCAACCGCTTAATACGTTAACTGGGAGGTATGGAGGTTAATCTGTAGGTAAAGGTGGAAAGAGACAATTTGAGGACCTCTGTGGCCCAATGGTAGTGTCCTGCCTCTGGGCTCTGCGGCTCAGCGGCTCAGCTTCAAGCCCCACCTGTTCCAGTGGTGTCTCGTAACATCCCTGGGCAGATTGATTTGGAAAAGCCCAGAGCAAATCTACTCGCACATCCAGAATAAACATGTAACCTGTACCGGACAACAATCAACAAGTTAATATCTCTGTGGGTTGTCGTAGTAGAATTTACAACTTAGTACAGGTCACCCAATTGACAGGCATGTGATGCATGTTCCTGCTCCAAATGAGGGTCCTCAACTTCCACCCTTCCCTGGTACGGCATGTTCTTTTTGGTCCACCACAAATCCCAAACTTTATATAAAATCAAAGTCAGAGGATGGCCCTTCTGTTCAGGGGGATTTGAGCTGATGTCTCTTACTGCACACATGGGGAGCAGAGTGAAACAGGTGACTGTGGCTAACATACACATCCACCGTTTGGTGAGCAGTTAGTACACAGTGGATTTACCCCATTAACACCAGCACCTAGTATCTCAACCATTAATCTTTTCTGCCTGTGTGCCAGTTAAGGCTGGCTTATAATCGAACTGGACAGCAAACTGGGCACTATTGACCAGTCCTGGATGAAAGCTTTGACCATGGGCCGGATGATCATTGGTTAAACATCTACTCCTTGCCCCCCTCCGATTGTAGATGTCATTTTCATGCCTTCGATCAGACAAAAGACAACAGCACCCAAGGGCAGGAAGAGGTTGTCCTGTGTCTTTACTGCCTTGACCCCATATCCCTTAGCTCCCCACCACCCACCAAACACACACCGATTCGCAAACAGAAACCAAAGTCTCCATTTTTGGAAATGTGTCATTGACCCTCCCCATGTTCTCAGCAGCTTCTGACTGTGAATTTGGCTGGTCTTCATTGGATCGGTGTGCTTTCTTTCAGCTTGAGAAATACCAGCAGGGAGACTTTGGCTACTGCCCTCGAGTGTACTGTGAGAACCAGCCCATGCTTCCTATTGGTAAGTGAACCTTCATTTCAGTCGGTTGTGTTCAGTTCCTCAGGATGTCCCAGAGTGTTTTACAGCCAGTGTGAGTGCTCCTGAAGTACACTGGCTGTTGTAATGTGCTGGTGCAGTGCTAATATCATTGGACTAAGCCCGCTGTGTACTAATCCAATATATGGGAGAATCGAGATGGGCTGAATACCCTGACTGCTTTGTAGATGGAGGGTTTTTATCTCCTCTTTGTCTCTCTGGAGTTTAAAAGAATGAGAGGAGATCTGATTGAGGCACATAAGATGGGAAAGGGAATTGACGGAGCAGATGTAGAGGGGATGTCTCCCCTTGTGGGGCAATTGAGAATGAGAAGCCTTAGTTTTAGGCTAAGGAGTGGCAGAAAAGAATTACTTTCAAAATTACTTCTCTCAAAGGGTTGTGAACCTGTGGAGTGTGGTGGATGCTGAGACAGAGTAAATTTTAAAGGAGGTGATAGAGTTTTTTTGTTTAATTAGTAACGGGTTGAAGGGATATGGAGCGTGGGCAGGAAAGTGGAGTTGAGGCCGAGATGAGATCAGCCATGACCAAATTGAACATGGAACAGGCTCGAGGGGCTGAGTTGCCTACTCTTGCTCCTCGTTCTCATCACCTTCGATTTTTTTTACCTGTTAACAGTCAGTCCATTTGTCTGACTAGTAGTGAGGTTTATTGCATTCTTGATATAAGAAACGGTGGTACTGAGCGGTGAGCTTAAAAACCAGTGTTGCAAATGGTCGCTGCCCTTCTGAGTTCATGTTTGTGCCGGTTTTTCACATTTGGTAATGTTCTTCCCTCCATGACCACCAGCTCCAATGGGGGAGTAGGCCCACACAGCGGAGGTACTGCTTTGGCTCCACACAGTAGTGGGTGTGGGGGAAGAAGTCTAGCGATGCTTAAACCTGAGTGAAAGTTGCGGAAGCAGCAGGCTGTGAGGAGGTTTCAGAATGACGACGTTGGGGACTTGAGTTTTGGGAACATGTGCCAAGTCCCAGTGAGCTGAGTTAGCAGTTTATTGTAAAGGTCTCCGGGGGACACAGTAACCGAAGAAAATAGCAGCTTGTGAAAGCAAAGCAATCTACTGCAGGAAATGTTAGGACAGCTGTGCCAGTCGATCGAGAAGCTTCGTAGAAACATAGAAAATAGGCACAGGAGTAGGCCATTCAGCCCTTTATGCCTGCACCACCGTTCAGTGTGATCATGGCTGACCATGCAATCTCAGTATCCCATTCTCGCCCTCTCCCCATACCCCTTGATCCCTTTAGCCACAAGGGTCACGTCCAGCTCCTGCTTGAGTGGATGTAATGAACTGGCCCCAACAGCTTCCTGTGGGAGAGAGTTCCACAGGTTCACAACTGAGTGAAGAAATTCTTCCTCCTCTCAGTCCTGAATGGCCTACCACTTATACTTAGACTGTGACCCCCTGGTTCTGGACTTCCCCCAACATCAGGAACATGCTTCTTGCATCCGGCCTGTTCAGTCCCATCAGGATTTTATATCTTTCCAGCCTTCTCGCACTCTTCTCTTTCCCCACACCCCCCCCCCCCCCCCCCCCCCCCCCCCCCGCCATTCTTCTAAATTCCACTGAGTACAAGCCCAGTTGATCCAGTGTTTCTTTGGCATGGTTGGAGAGAGAGCTCAGCACCCAGGTTTCAGTGACTCGAAGGGTATCACTGGGATAAAAGGAATGAATCTTTCTGACTTGTCACGTATCTCGTCTCATGTTCTATAATTTGTGCTTTTCTTAGTGTTGCGAAATTTTTGTTTTTCTCGGAACATATTCGCGATGACCGATTTTCCCAATCAATAAAAATGTAAAACTTGTGGTCCATCAACCCAGGCATCACCCTGAAGCCTGACTTATTACTGTCACAATCAGTTGGGATCATAACACTGATAGGAGCTGCATTGTTTGGTGTGCTTGTGGTTAATGCAAATTCCAAATGGTGTATGCAACCAAAACATTTCGTGTTTTATTTTGTTTTCCATCTAACCCTTTCATTTCCATGTATACTTGGTGTGAAGTCAGTTACTCAATTCATCAGCTGGCTGAAGCAAGACTAATCATAATTAATAATTGTGTTGCCTCTGAGCTAAAAAGAGTTAACATTTTGGATCCGGTAACCCTTCCTCGGAACGGCTCTGAGGAAGGATCACCGGACCTGAAACGTTAACTCTTTTTTTTCCTTCACCGGTGCTGCCAGACCTGCTGAAATTTTCCAGCAACTTTGTTTTTGTTCCTGAATTACAGCATTCGCAGTTCTTTGGTGTTTTTTTTGCCTCTGAGCTATTTGTCTCCATAATTAGAATTCAGTTGTGCCTTTTTCTTTTCCCTCCATGCCTGCAGCAGATCTCCCCTTGTCCCATAGTGTTCATCCAGTCTCCGCATATCCACACATTAGCCACTTTAGAATGTTCCAACTTCACTTTCCTGCCTTTTCCCCATAACCCTTTGATTCCCTTCCTGTCTCTCTCAGCCTTGAATATACTGAATGACCCAGCCCCGATAGCACGCTGTGGTAAAGAATTCTACAGATTCATTCCCCTTGGAGACAAGAAATTGCTCCTCATGTCTGTCTTCACTGGGCGACCCCTTACTCTGAGATGATGCCCCTCTGGTCCTAGACTCTCCCACAAGGGGAAACAACCTCTCCACATCTACCCTGTCAATCCTCCAAGAATCTTCTATGTTTCAATAAGGTCGCCTCTCATTTTTCTAAACTCCAATCAGTACAGGCCCAACCTAATCAACCTCTCCTCATCAGACAGTCCCTCCATCCCTATGATCAGCCCAGTGAACCTTCTCTGGACTGCCTCCAACACCAGTATATCTCGGGGCCCAAAACTGCCCACAGTATGCCAGCAGTGGTCTGACTACTGCCTTGTATAGTTTTAGCAAAACCTCCCGAGTTTTATTCTCCATTCCATTTGAAATAAAGACCAGTGTTCCATTTGCCGTCCCTATTCCCTGCATTCCAGCTTTTTGTGATTCATGGTCAAAAACTCCCAAATCCCTCTGTTCTGTTACTTCCAGCAGGCCTTCTCCATTCGAATAATATTCAGCTCCTTTATTCTATAGCTCCCCTAATAACCACATAGTAAATCCTCTGACCTGGAATCGAATGTGAGGAAATGCAGAAGGACATGGACAGGCTAGGAGAGTGGGGTGGGCAGATGGAATACAATGTCGGAAAGTGAGACGTTATGTACTTAGGTAGGAAGAATCGAGACATGGACTGTTTTTCCAGTTGGGGAAAGGCTTTGGAAGTCCTGGAGAACAGGGGACTTGGGAGCCCTAGTTCAAGATTCTCTTAAGGTTAATATGCAGGTTCAATTGGTAATTAGGAAGGCAAACAATGTTAGCATTCTTTTTGAGAGGGTTAGAGTACAGGAGCAGAGACATACCACTGAGGCTGTATAAGGCTCTGGTCAGACTGCATTTGGAATATTGTGAGCAGTTTTGGGCCCCAGAATGGTTTACAAGAATGATCCCAAGGATGAAGGGCTCCTCATATGAGGAGTGGTTGAGGACTCTGGGTCTGTACTCGATGGAGTTTGCAAGGATGAGAGTGAATCTCATTGAAGTTTACAGAATACTGAGAGGGCTGGATAGGGTGGACATGGAGAAGATGTTTCCACTAGTGGGAGAGGCTAGGGCTCGGGGGCACAGCCTTAGGATGAAGGGACGACCCTTTAGAGCTGAAATGAGGAGGAATTTCTTCAGCCAGAGGGTGGTGACTCTGGAGCTCATTGCTGCAGAGGGCTGGGAGACTAGGTCACTGGGTGTATTTAAGACAGATGGATAGGTTCTTGGTAAGAGGGTAAAGGGCAACTCCATGCTGGGCCCAGAAGGGTGTAAAGTGCATACTCGGATGTCAGAATGCTTTTCCTGAAACGTGCTCAGGTACTTTTTCCAGCCTCTTGCCTCCACATTCACTTTCATTATTCCGCCCCGTCATCTCTCACTTTGTTTCCTCCCCTTGTCTCCTTTCGGGTTTTCCTGTTGGTTTTTAATTTTTCTGTGAGCTAGCAACTCTGAACTCCTGCCTCGCCACCTTACCCTTTTGTCGATTTCCATCCCCCCCCCGCACCATCTCCAGTCTTAGAGCATCCTTTTGCCTGGGGCCCAAACCTGCTCCCATCTGTCTCACCACCTGTATCTGCAAACCAGAAAGCTTAACTCAATTTCTCTCAGCCCATACAGGAACCGCTGGCTGTTATCAGGATTTGGTTTACACATTTTTTTTTTTTTTTTTTGCCTGCTTTTAATGTTGACCATCTTTTTAAACACAACACCCTTCCCCACCAATTACTTGGCT